CGATATTTTTAGCAAAACTACACACAAACACACACACACACACACACACACACACACACACACACACACCTACACACACACATACTTATTTATATCATATGACCTTAACACCTTACCGATGGGCCTGGTTCGCCTCGTTCTCCCGGACCACCTGTCGTACCTTCCTTGCCCTTGTATCCTCGTCTGCCTCGTCTACCTGGAAACCCTTGAAGCCCCTAAAAATTCCATGTTAACTTAACATTTATCAGAAAACACTATATATACCGCATATATAATTGCATTTATAACTAGAAAGGTATATAAGAAAGATCAAGCTTTCTTGGCAACTTAGATGGGAATGAAAAGAACCTACAATTAAAAATTAATATAAACAAAATCAAATAAATAAGAACGCAAGTTCTCTACCATTATTTTAAGAAGTTGTAGTGATCGTCGTTTCTCACAGGTTACGACAAACCTGGGTATAAGGCTTACCTCAGGCAAAACCGCAAGATACTTCCTTTGTTATGAGAGTGCCGATGAGGTAGCATTTGCTACCAAAACATACAAACTACGTCTAAATTACTTTTTTCCTGTAATTAACATTTCTTCGTCATTTATAATTATGATTTCGCGCCAAGGCCGAGTTTGCACAGTTACCTTGTCACCCGGCGGACCTGGATATCCGGGTAGTCCTGGAGTACCAAGCTTTCCCTGAAGAAGGATTATTGATACTCTTTTTAAATCAAGATGATTTAGTCACGAGTATAGTTATTAGTAGTTAACAATAAATGTCTATTTTCGCGTAAGCTACGGTGAAGGCAGTGTCGTAGCCTGAACCAATTCATGGCGGGGGACAATTTCGTGACCTAACGACAATTTCATGTAGAATGACGAATAAGTACTTTGCTTACAGCTTATAGCTACAGAAATATACTACGCGTAGGAAAATATAAACTTAGATGGACATTTGCATTTATTTGTTTGTTTATTATGTTGGATTATTTACATATATTATGCATATTTTTTAGTTATCTTTAAAATTTAAGGGTAGCATTTCCCCATGTCTAACAGAGACCATAGCCGATGGTGTAATATTTTTAATCAGCCAACGACCATGGCGCAATATCTCTAGTAACTAGGAACCCTGCTAGCCTACCTTTGGCCCTACAGGCCCTGCCACGCCCTGCTCGCCTCTGGGTCCGTCAATGCCTTTTGGTCCCTCCGGTCCCTCTTCACCTCTCACTCCAGGAGGCCCTATGGGACCACTGCCTCCTTTAGCTCCGTGATCGCCTTTAAGCCCTGTCAGACCCATAGTTCCTTTCTCCCCCTTTTCACCAATAAATCCGCGCGGGCCATGATCTCCCTGTCCGAATATCGCACGAAATATTGCAGTTAAATATACTGAATTCAATATTATTTAAAACGAAGTTACGCCATAGTGAGAGAGCCATACTACTCCCCTCCTCTTCCATCACCCTCTCTCTGACTGTCTGTCTGTCTGTCTGTCTGTCTGTCTGTCTGCCTGTCTGTCTGTCTATCTGTCTGTCTGACGGTCTCTCTCTCTGCGTCTCGCTCTGTATGTATCTGTCTCTCTTGATTGCTCTCGTACTCTTAAAACCACACAGACACATTTAATCACGTATGTTTTTTAATTAACCTACCTTACGACCCATGGGTCCTCTGTACCCGTTGGGCCCACTGGGTCCAGTTAAACCCTGGAATAAATGTAACAGCAACTATAGATACTGATTGCAAAATTTGAAACAGCACACTAACAATCCGCCTGATTGGAGATGGAGGCATTCTCTTGTGCTTCACCCAACGGTTTTACAAACTACTGTCAATAAGTCATTATTACACGCGCAGAGCAAGTTATCTATTAGACATCATGACGTGGATGATAGAGCACTACCTTTACACCAGTTAAAGAAACCTCACCGTATCGCCCTTCTTTCCAGCAGCACCCTGACTTCCTTGAACTCCTGGGATTCCATCCACGCCCGGAAGCCCTGGAAGACCCGGTTTTCCTTGGGGACCTTGGAGACCAGGTGGCCCGAGTGATCCTTGCGGTCCTGGAGGGCCCTGCATGTTCACGCCACACCGCATCTTATTAACTTCCTACGATCTATACAAGCTCTACTTGTCTTCCTCAAGATATTATCTATCTACTATAAACATGGTATATGGATTTGTTGGCACGGTGTTCTTACCGGCGGTCCGTTTGGTCCCATCTGACCCGGTGCTCCGGGGGCACCCTGCGCTCCCTGTAATATAGGTAGCACAAATCAATTAATTTCTTTTATGAACATTCACGATAAATGATTAGCGATTAAACATAATTGTAATTCGTATACAGCATATTCATATATAATAACATATAATATATTTAATATATACATATATATATATATATATATATATATATACTATATGTTCATATATGTACATGCTTGACTCTCGACTATTCAGTGAGAGTCACAAACCATATCATTATTTCTAAAAGTAAATGTGTGGTGACGCTTCACGTACGGCAGGTCCAGGCGGGCCCCTGACACCTTGCGAGCCTGATGGCCCCACGGGTCCTTGCGGTCCTGGCGCGCCATCATTGCCTTGCGGGCCGGGAATACCGCTATTGCCCTTCTCTCCGCCGTGACCGTATTCCCCTTGAGGACCGGGAGGTCCCGGTTGTCCCTAAATGCGTAAAAGCAAC